CACACAAAATATTCAGACTCACATTAGAGAATTGCCCCTTCTATGAGTACCAGAACAATGGAATTCACTCAGAGGCACTAGCCATAACATCCAGAGCAGCATCATTTTGTAAAATTCATTTTTATTAATTCCCAAATTGGTTCTACAAAGACTCAAACCTGGGACCTCCACATCCAGTACACAGTGCAAATTGTTAGGGTCCTATTCCAGAACTGTACTCAATGCTCAAGTCAGGATTTGAGCAGACTTGAGTATGATTTCAAGCACTGGAAATACGACCCTAATGTCAAGGACTGAGTATTATTTCTAGTGCTTTGAATCATACTCAAGTCCTGACTTGAGCATTGAGAACTGTACTCAATGCTCAAGTCAGGATTGCACTGGAAACACAAGCACTGGAAATACGACACTAATGGCAGGGACTTCAGTATGATTTCGAGTGCTTTAAACCATACTCAAATCCTGACTTGAGCATTGAGTAGAGTTCTAGAATGATGATAGATGACGTAGTCAAAATGGCGGTTAATTTGCCTAAAAGTATGTTAACTATCCCAAAAACAAATAGGAATCCAAATAACCACTTTGCCTAAATCGTGAACTGAACATAAAATTCGTCGAGATATTTTTGTTGAAAATCTCTCATTCCATTTTGGAGTAGGTAACCGGAATCGATAAATTAAATGGGTCACCAACATGATAGTAACAAAGGAAGCCTCTACCCTGACCAAAGTTCGTTGACCGGTAGGTTATTCAGATTGACTTAAAAATAATAACTTACCAAAGGTATATCCTATCTTTCGGGTACTCTAATCGTCGTAAGCAGCTTAGGAAATACGGCAAAGTATGCTCTTTATTGCGGATCAGCGTCGATATGCCGACGATAGGCATAAGCCTAATATTACTAATATCATCACTGACATAAAGTTCTTCACATGAAACTATAATAGAAAACACTACACATATAAGTAAAAACAATAATGGTCTTATAAAAACCATTTTTACGTTCTCTAATACGGTTTCCAATTTCTAAAAAGAAATTATATCGATCAAATACTCCATTGCGACTCGCGCCGCGCAGCCACCACAAACTACTAATGCAGCCACGCGCACAGTATTGCCAGGTCAAATCCGAAAAAATCGGAGGATGTTGCACACAAAAAACAGGAGGAAAAGGACAGTAGATACAGAATTTACCTTCAAACATTTTTAATAGACTTGCTTCAAACATTGCTTGGTTATTTTCATTTTTCCATTACTACCCAAAGGAAAAAGCGTGTGGGCGAAATGTTTTATAGTACGTTTCAAATAGAAGTAGAAAGGGAAAGGAATTGAAAATCCTTTGGGATTGTTAGGAACGTATTTTATTCAGGATTCAACAACGATAACTGAAGATCAAAAACAAAATGTCAAGAATAAAAAACTATAACAAAAAGTATATGCTGCAGCTGCTCGAGCGCATAGTCCCTTTTTTATTGAATAGAGAGAAGTATTAGTTTTTTTAAGACCCGTCGGAGCACACTCCGCCGCAAGAAGTGAAGTCGGCCACGCGTATTACGCCGTCTCGTCCAGAATATACTGCTGTTATGAGACCTTTAAGCTATGATGTGCGTGGGAGCATCCCATCTGCAATAACGACGACGAGACCTATCTTCACCGTCGGTTATTTGCCTCGTACTGGCCTGGGGCTCAGAATCGACGAAGAGTACCTGTGGACACTGAGTCCCAGGACCATCTCCACCAGAAGATATCCACTAATCGCACTGCCCGCCGCCAGGCCATTCGGTTGCAGTGATCTGACATATCCAGTCTTTTTGGAATTGTCAGACCTGATGATGAGCGTAAGATAAAATTTAAGGGGATGAGAGCTTCCTGGTCTTCCACACTAACAGAAAACTTAACTCCCGGTATGCCATAAAGGTTACCGTGGTGCTTTACGTGTAATGTTTTTGATGTTATCTTACAATTTTGATAACTGAAAATAATAAATAAAATTAGTAAGAGTAACATTTTCCAGCATTCTAGTCTGTTAAAAAAACAAGTCCACGATGAATAAGTAAAATTTATCAAAAATAGTGAAATTAGTAAGTAAAAGTATTTTACAATTGGGAAACACACAGACATACCTCATGCATATGCTTTAATGGTTAATAACTATCTGAGTCTTCATAGTACATTGAATTAATAAAGGGCAGAATTTTGTTGAAGGTGAGATAATAAATAACAGAACTTTCTGAAAACAGTAATTTTCGTTAATTATTAGTAGAACTGCAGCCAAAAACAGTAGACCTGGCAACATTGATAATGACCGATGACAAGTAGTAGTAAAATGTTTCGTTCTCCGGGACAGGCTAAGGCGTCTAGCCATACTGCCAATTCTTAGATCCGATGACAGGACAGACGTTGAGAGTTGATGCCACGAAACAAGTTGTTTTTGTATAATTCATGTATATATTTCAAATTATAATATTTCATAAATAATATATATTAATTCCTTCCTAACTTAGTCCTCCTCATCATGATTCCTTTCCTTTTTGGTTTTCCTCCCGTAAAGTAATCTAGTGCCATAATTTTCCATCCTCGAAATCTTCGATCAGATAGGCTCTAAGGCCTAATCTGTATATGCTCTAAGGCCATAATTTATAAAAAAAAAAATTAAAAGTTGTAGTTTTTTTTATTTATTGCATGACCTGGATACAAAGCCCTTCAGTCGAAAACGTTTATAACTATTTTGAACAACAACAATAAAAACAGAAAACAGACAGAGACTTACAATAAACTCAACGTGCTTCTTCTTAGGGTTCTTTTATTACCCGAGGGAATCTGGTTACAGATATTCCAGGCGTACGAAGGCAGAGCCGGGGTTATGTAGGACTGGGCAGCCCGACCGCACCAAACCCCCGGAGTATTCCTCCTCTCCGCTGCAAGTGGAGGCACGGATACCGGGTATCGCTCGCCCGCCCGCGCCTCCACCAGTGGCTGGCCGCATCCAGCGCAGCCCCTCCCTGAGAAGAGAGACATAACGGTCCCCCGACTCTAAATGTAAGACACGTCGAACACCAGACGAGTCTTGCATCTCGGGCCCTTCCATGCTAGGCAACGAACTCCCCCGTGTCCGTTACCCAGGGACCATGGGGGCCAGGACAACATCCTTTTAACTGTAAAGTTCGGAGGATGCTCTCCCAGCCCCCGCGGCGGATCTGTTGATAGTCTCCGCCGCAACACCCTACACGCATCCGTGTGGACTTTCCGAAGAGTTTCCCTTGAAGCGCCCACCGCACGGGCCAATCGCCCAAATTCGGCTGCGGAGGACAGGACGAGTGGCAACGACACACCGACACGTCTCTTACCCCGCGGCCCCACCGCCACTGCATTTACACCCTAAGCGGTGCAGCCCCGCCAGTGTCGCGGAGGACGAGGGCTAGGCGGATCCCCCCTATGGAGCTCGTACCATAGGGGCGATCCGTCCTGTCCTCGTAGAGTGCGTGAGCCGGTCCTACGGACCACTGTCGTACCACCTTGTGCAAGTGCTGACCGGGCACGGCTGCTTCGATCACTACCTGCACAAGGTGGCAAGGTGGGAACTGTCCCCGTCGTGTCACGAGTGCGGTGCTGCAGATGACACCGCGCAGCACACCCTAGAGGTGTGCAGCCGGTGGGATGAGCAGCGCCGTACTCAGACGGGGACAATAGGGCACAACGTCTCGCTGCCGGGCGTGGTTGCCTCCATGCTCGGTAGCGAGGAGTCCTGGGAAGCGGTGGCCTTCTTTTGCTTCTTTCGCATAGAAGCGGCGAACGCGCACCCGCTTCGGCGCAGACATACGGGGACAAGGCGAACGCAGTCCGCTGCTCGCCTGATACCCTAGTAAAGCCAGCCAGCGGGCTCTGGACAGGGAATCCGGAGCCTGCATTGCACAGCCTCACTCGTCAGGGGGGCGAGTCGGAGGACAACTAACTTGTCCCTCCGTTGGCGCGGGAGCCCTGACGCAAGCTAGGGCGGCCGGACGGCGGTGGTGAAAGTCCACCTACCCCACGGCGCCGACTCAACCGGCGAGAGATAAACCCGGTTGGTTAGGGAGAGTCTCCACATAAAAAAAAAAAATTGTACCTCTATCATAACGAAGTTATAGCGAAATCAAAATTGTAAAAATTTTCTTAAGTTATGAACACGGCATTCTGAAATCTCAACATATTTTGTCATATTTCTCAGAAACTACCTAACCTAACCAGCAGATTAGGGTAAAAATTTTTGGAATAAGTTTTTATAGTTATTAAATAAATAGTGGTAATCCCAGGTACAACCGCCATATTGACAGTGAATACGACGAGTGTACCTTTGTTATTACTATAACTTCGTTCTGATGAAAATACAAATTTTTTAAACAGAGGTACTAAATAGTACATACGTTTTTTTGGTACCAAATTTGTCAGGATCCATGAAGGTACACCCGCCATTCTGAGTCTCACCTTTTTTTCTTCAGTTTGTTAAGCACTTGTACAATTTAGTAAACTACTACTAAAAACTAGTACATGAACATTACCTTCTTAGATGCAAACATAACACTTTTTCTTCTTTTCTTTTTTTTTAACTGGCCCTCTGTGAGAACTGAATGTGTGCTCAACACATTGAGTTGTTCAACTTTCTTCTTTTTACAAATGGACATATTTTATATTAGTTTCTACAATTTTTTTACACTTCTACTAAATGACTAATATTTAATTTTTATAAACATTCTTCAGAGGGTTCTGACCACAATGCACACAATATGCAATAAGAAAATTACATTTAGCAATGTTTATACAATTTTGTTTGATAGTTCATGCTAAATAGAACATTAAAAGATTAATCTAAATGTAGAACTTAATATATTGTGTCATCGAATTATATTTTTCCACTATTTCAAATTTTCCAGTAAATTACCCAACGCTAAACTGGAGGTTTAAGTGTAGGTAAGAAACAAAACCAAGTTACATTATGTTTATGAAGAAATACTTTATTGGAAAGAAATTAACACCATAACTACTACTACAGTAGTATGACTACAGTAAATAAGTCTAAAAAATTACAATAGACAGTAAATGCATTCACTGTATTTGTAACTTTCTGGGTTTTCACATTTTGAGTTAATGCACTAAATTAATATGAACATGGTGTCTCATTAATTTAGACACTCTTTTTATAATAGGATCTGTAACTTAAAATAACTACAAATATTTCATATAGGCACAAACAACTTTCGCCGAATTTTACAAACATCTATATCATATAATACATTTCCAATAAGAATTGTATTGTAAAAAATAATGTAAGGCGTTTGCCAATATAAGAATTTTAAAAAGACAAAATTATGTGTTGGTTTTTGTAAAGGCTTTCAAGCTACTTTTGGCCCCTGAAATTGTCAATATTAATATTATAAGCTGGAGAAACTACTTCAATAAATAACAATTTGTTCTTTAATATTGTATAGTATGGTGAGAATACCAATAAAACTTTTCTTTGTTTGCCTATTTTATTCAATACTACAGTCTACAGTCCAATGGAAACAAAGTAATTTACCTTGTCATATACAACACTAAATATCTTGAAATTGTGAAGGTCTGTAGGTCGTTGGACAGAATGGGATCTAAGTCCCCTACAAAATAAAATGTTGTATAGGTATGCTGTTTTCCAGTAAATTAAATGGAGTCTACAATTTTATACATAAAATTGGTGTGCACAGATTTCAGTTCATCACATTAGCAATATTCGCTATTGTAAAAAACTTCATATACATACATGTAATTGATTAGCGTTATTGTAAAAGTTTTCATATACAATTTATTAGCATTATTGTAAAAATTGTCTTAAATAAATGGTTACATTGTAAAAATTTTCTTGTGCAAAAATTTATGTACAAACTTCCAAGCTGCTATTAAAATAATGGTCAATATTATAGAAATAGCTTGTGATATAAAACAAATACACTGATGATAATTAAAAAATACTTATAAAATAAAAAGATTAAATTAGGAGATTCAAAAACATTTTCAAGCAAATTGAAATTAACTTTAGAACTAATCATTTGCTTATTGGCTACATTAATCTTCTTATCCTAAAATTACCAAGTAGTAAAGTCAAAATACAGTCAAAGACCTAATTCTAAAGTTCCTAGTTTTACCAGTAAACAAAATATCCTCAACTGAAGAGAAAAATAATTGGTACAAGGCGACTGTTACAAATACTATTTTGATTACTGGGTAAACATACAATTAGACCATATGGACGGAATCGTAAAATAAGTTTTTTTTAAGTTGATTATGCATATGATACTTTCTGTTCATAAGCATCATCCTCATTCCAGTACTCCTGATCAGCAAAAGCCGTATGACGCAATTTGCACCATCTGGCTCCAAATCTTAACATAAGTATTATTACAACAAGTACAAACATACACAAAACAGCTACAGCTGGATAAATCATAAGGAATGCCATTTTAGATATCGCTTTCTCGCTTGTGCAGTTCTAAGTACTCTTGTGATGTTGTTAGCGGTTGCCGAGAGAATGAAGCAGGCACTTCTTCACGTTTATGCACTTCGTGATACTCGTCAGGGTATGGATGTACGTAATGAACTGGCTGATAGTTAGCTTCTAACTCCGTAAAGTCAAGAGGAGGTTGCTTGTGAGGAGTCGCAGACCAGATTGACACTATCCAACGATTACCTACAAAAGGACATTTTAGTAATAAATAAACTTTTTTCTTTATGTTATAGACTAGTATAGGAAATAGTATATGAGATTTATTTTAATTACAAGCGTTAAAGACAAGGCCCATTTGATTTTCTGGACTGGTGTGGAAATGTGGTCAAATATTTAAGTTTATTTTTAGTCCCATTGGAGTTAAATTAGAGCATCTAGTAAAATTATACTATATTAACCTGTGTGACGATCGAGCCAATAGTCAGAATAACGAGAGCAACAGCACACAATATTCAGGATCAGAATCAGTCCCAAAATCACAGTGCAAATCGCTATGGCTATGTAAAACGGCGTAAAATCTCCAATACGCTGACTTATGGGATTTATTAGCTTGTACGTATTATTCCCTGTAAAGTAAGTGTGTAATTCAGTAGCCGACATCGTCTTACTAAATATCGACCTGCCAAAGAAAAAAATATGCGTCAAGAAATTTCGAATAATAGTGAATTAAAAACAGTGTACGGCCGCTCCTTAATTTTCAAAGCATGGGATTAAAAATAGGGCGTTGGCAAGGCGTTATAGGTGACAGAATTATTATTAAAATTAACCTATTATGACTTACCTTTACTATTACGTTACAATTTAAGTCAATTTGTCTTTGAAATAATTGATTTCTTCCACAGAAGCAATTTTGGAAAGTCGTTTTCTTTGCACCCGATTGCCACCAGACCACAAACTACTACTAATACAATACAAGCACCAGACGACGCCAACCCAACGTTTTTGTTTTTTTTTTAATTTATTGCTGGCCATGGAAACAAAGTCCTTCAGCCGAAAACATAAACGTTTAATTATATTTCTGTAAATATGGCCACCACAAAGAGGATAGGCAATTTGAGGCGGCGTGCTTGGATTGACTCGGGATTCCTTAGAATGGGCCGATACGGGTATTTTAATTCGAGATTCGTATAATTTCGCGTTTTAATCTTCGATTAAGGCTGTATAGCACTAGCCTATTCCACTTTAAACTAGATTTCACAATAGTTATTTTTGATATAAGTGCGGAAAGTTAGTCATTATTCACGAGGCTCGAGGCTTCTTGGCCCGAGCCAGAGGCGAGGGTCAACACGCGAGACAAGTGAAAATGACAAATCCGCACGTGTATCAAACGACGTTTTTTAATACATTTGCGAAAAAACTACATTGAAAGTAAAATAAAACAGTATTTAAAAAAAAACTCATTTTCTGCTAGTAAATTAAAATAATGAAATACAACCACTGCAACCATTATTTAAAATTCTATGGAAATATAGTTCTAACGTGCTGTTTTTGTTTATTTTCTGTAATATCGGTCTGTAACCACTTTTCTTATTATGAAGTCCTGGTACTTTTGTTTAAAGCCGTGGGGCGACGGCTTAAGAATACATTGTCGCCTCCCCATACATGCCCGTGGGGGTCGTAAGAGGCGACCGAGGGCGTCACAAGTGTCCATCTGCTTAGCGTTGTGGTAGGCTCTGTGCCGACTGGATAGCGACCACAGTACACACGGCGGAAAACCCTCCACAGTGAAACGCTTTTGCGAATCGCGTTCAGGGATCAGTTGGTGTACATCCAGTGCATTTGGCCAGACCGGCAAAATGATAGTGACGGAGTGAAGATATTTGTGTTTTCCATCCGTTACTCTCATCTCTGGACTGTATTCGCACTTTCCATCAGGCGCGGTGCAGTCATTTTGTCGAGTTGCAATAAAAAAAAAAAAAAAAAAAAAACTTCTTTAGGAACCCGTGCACGGTA